CCGACTGGCAGCGCGTCCTGGCGTTGTACGGCCTATCGGACGCGGCTGCACATGCCCTGGGGAGGCAGGCTGAGGAGCGGAAGGCCCAGGGTGGGGAGGAGGAGGAGGATGTTCTCTCCCTCCTGGCCTAGCTCCAACTTTTTGTCTGTGCATGTGAATTGGGTCGAACCCTTCTCGGATGCGTGCGCTCCTCCTCCTCCTCCTCCTCTCTCCTCCTCCTCCTCCTCCTCCTCCCTCCTCCTCCTCCTCCTCCTCCTCCTCCTCCTCCCTCCTCCTCCTCCTCCTCCTCCTCCTCCTCCTCTCCTCCTCCTCCTCCTCCTCGTCTACTCCTCCTCCTCCTCCTCCTCCTCCTCCTCCTCCTCCTCCTCCTCCTCCTCCTCCTCCTCCTCCTCCTCCTCCTCCTCCTCGTTTTCCTCATATTCCTCCTCCTTCTTCTTCTCTTCCTCCTCCTTCTCCTTCTCCTCCTCCCTCCTTTCTTCCTCGGTGCTCCCCTCCTTCTCTCCTTCCTCCATTCCGTCCCTCGCTCCTGCCTCGTTCCCCCATCCCCCCTCGTCCGGAAGTGTGGCCCCCACCCCTTATCCATCTGTCTCAGTCTTGGTGGTCTTCTGCTGCACCCGGCATGGATACACAGCAGGGACCCTCTCCACGGATGAGAGACGAGGAGAATTGGGTTGTCGAGGGAGAAAGGAAGAGGAGGGGGGACGCAGGAAAGGGATTTTCGTCTGCCCCGCAGAATGAAACCGAGCAGCCGGTGAAGAAGGGCGGAGGGAGATGGAGGGAGAAAGGGAGGGGCGAGGGGGACAGGAGGCAACCGTTTGTTCATCACCTGTAGCCCTCCTAGTTGGTGCCCCCGGGAACTTACTGAAAGTGAGGCAATAGACACATGCCGGTTTGAGGGTGCGCGCTAAAGTCTTTGTCGCAGTCTTGGCGTGAAGTGTGAATGGCACAGGGGCAGGACGGGATTGGCAGACCAAGCGCGTTTGGGGCTCTCGATTTGGTCCACCCAATCCATACAGGCAACCTGGTGAACCGCCCGCCACTTTTCCCTTGCCTCGAGGAAGAAAAAATCATGTAAGCATCAACTTTCGGAGGTTCGCGCGGGGTTCATGGGTCGGCACTGGACTCCCATCCCCTGGCGTGCGAAGCGCTGTAGGGGCGGCGCTGGAGGCGCCGCCAGGGGGCTCCAGCGCCGATCCAAGGAAATCCGCGTGGACCTCCGAAAGGCCAGGTTTACGCTGTTGGTTGTTCCTCTACTGACCCAGCTGCTGGTCCTTACCCCCCCCCCCCTCGTGCCCTGCAAGGGGGGGCGGGGGGGGGAGGGTCCTCTCCGCTTCGCTGGGTGCACGTCGGGACTGCGGAGAGCGCGGGCGTTCGGGACTTCCTTTGAGTTTTTGCTGGAAGCTTCTTGGGGACCTCTTGAGGGCCTACCGGGGCCTCTCAGGGGCCAACTGGAGACAGCTTGTTGGTTCCCTGGCGGTACTCACGCGCTCCCCCCCCCCGCGTGCCTGGCGCCGGGGGGGGGGAGATACGCAGGCGAAGGCCTCGGGCGCGTCCCCGGCGCCCCCTGAAGGTGCACGACGCGATGCGGTACGACATCGCCCGCAGCCCAGATCGCTACCCGGCCCTGACGCGAGAGTCTGGCGTCGACGACCTCCAGGCGCCGGGCGTTGCCAGGGGTGTCCTTGGCCCAAGGGTGCCCCGAGGACTTCCAGGGGGCCTCCTGCAGCCTCCAGAGCGTCCCTCGCGAGGCCCAGAGGGCCCCAGAGGCTCCAAGGTGGTGCGACAAGCTGGGGCCACCTTGGGCCAGGACCACCGTTGCCTCTGGCAACCCCCGAAGGCGGCTCTGCGTGGCTGGGACAAGCTCGCAGGCGCATGCTACGAGTCGTGCGAAGCACAGAGCTGGGAGAATTCGGGGGCGGCGCACTTTATTGAGAGAGGCTGTCACACTGCGGTCCACGGCGAGCAGTGCCACAGAGAAGTGACGAGAGCGATGCAGCACGGAATCCTGGAGCGCCCTGAGACTTACCCGAGTTTGACGGTCAATTCTAGCTTTGAGGATTTCCAAATGTTCCTTCACCAATCAGACACGCTCTGCCCCAGGCCATGCCAGCCAGAGATACATCTGGCACTAGCGCGGCAGCGACGGCTCGGGCAGGTTTGCCACACTGCCGTCGCGGGAGAACAATGCCACGAGGAGGTTACCTGGGCGATGCGGCACGGCATCCTGAATCGCCCTCATTGGTACCCGAAGTTGACACCTGAGTCAAGCTTCGAGGAGTTCCAGGCATTTCTGCATGGCACAGACATGTGGTCTTATACATGCCCAAAGCCTTGTGAGGCGCTGAGGATGGAGACGGAAGGAAGACAGAAGTGGTCACGCGAGCAGGATTGCCACACGGCCGTCGAGGGTGAGGACTGCCACAGGGAGGTGAGGTGGTCGCTGCGGCACGGTATCCCAAACCATCCTGAGTGGTACCCTGCGCTGACGCCCAACTCTAGCTTCGAGGATGTCCAGGAGTATCTGCACAGCTTGCAGCCGCTTGCCGATCTGTGCCCGAAGCCGTGCAGGCAGCTCAAGGCCGAGGTCTCAGCAGCCGCCGATCGCGCGCTCGCCTCTCGTCGGCCACCCGACCACCCACCCGCGACCTCCCCCCACCCTCCGAGGGGTCCGCCCATCGGCCGCGAGACCGCTGGAGTCCCCACAGGTCGCCCCGGGGGCGCCGCTAAGCTGATCGCGCGTCGCGCGTCGCGGTCTGGGCCAGAGCCCCGCCTGGCAGGCCCGGCTTCAGCTCGAAGAAGAGCGCCCCCCCACCTCGGCTCTTGGAGGCGCCCCCCCTGCCCCTCCGGAAGGGGGAGGAGGAGGACGAGGAGGACGACGAGGAGGAGGAGGAGGAGGAGGAGGAGGAGGACGACGAGGAGGAGGAGGAGGAGGAGGAGGAGGAGGACAAGGAGGGGGGGGGGGGCGCGGCGCGAGGGCACGGAGATGACCGCGCGCGGAGCGGGGCGCCGGGCGCGAAGCAGGGGCCACTCTGCGGCCCTCGCCCAGCGACGCCTTGCGGGGTGCACCCGCCGCGGCTGCTGCAGGCTCGTGCCGCTCCCGGCGCCACCGTGGCAGCGCCAGGGCCCGGGCGCTCGAGGCAGAATCGCCGAGCGCGCTCCACTGCTCGCAGAGCGCCCCCGCGGCGTGCCCAGGCCGTCTGCATAAGTCTAGCTGCTCTCTGCGAGTCGTGGAGCGCGCTCGTCTGCAGAAGGGCCCCCGAGGCAGCGGGGACCCTCCAGGCTGGAGCGGCTCTCGCGGCGGCAGAGGCCGGAGCCCGCGCGCGGCCGCGGCGGGCGCCCACCGCAGCCGCGGGCCGCGCCCCGGCCGGGGGGGGAGGCGGGCGGCCCGGCACGCCGAGGCGCTCCTGCCGGGGCTGGCCCCGGCACAGGGCCCACCGCGGACGCGGGAGTGCCGCACTGCTGCCGAAGGCTCCCGAGGGTCGCGGGTATCTAGGGGATCAGATGCTACCGGAGAAAGAACCCAATCAGGGCTAGGGGGCTATAGGGCTATTGAGCTATAGGGCTATAGGGCTATAGGGCTATAGAGCTATAGAGCTACAGGAGCTAGGGGAACAGAAAGTGATATAAACATAAAAACTTGGAGGTCCGTGCGGATTTCTCGGATCGGCGCTGGGGCCCCCCGGCGGCGCCTCCGGCGCCGCCCTTGGCGCGCTCCGCGCGCCAGGGCGGGGGGTCCAGCGCCGATCCGAGAAATCCGCGCGGACCTCCGAGTTCTTATGTTTATGTCACTTTTTGTTCCCCTAGTATCGCCGAGCGCGTTCCACTACTCGCAAAGTGCCTACTCGCAAACATCCGAAAAAAGAGCTGCCGGCTCTGATGCAATGTACCGTAGGTCCCCCGCGGGGGATCCAGGCCATCTGCGAGCAGTTGCTTTGCGAGTAGTGGAACGCGCTCGTCGAGGGTAGGAGAGGGGAGAGGCGAAGGAGGAGGGGGAGAAGGCGAAAGACGGAAGGAAGAGGGAGAAAGAGAGAGGAGGGGGGGACGTGCGCGGCCAGCCGACGACGTCCGAGGCGATGCAGGCGCGGCTGCACGCCGTGGCAGAGCCTCACAGCCCCTTTCACGGGGAAAGGATACGGCCGAATCCAGAAACTCCGAATCCCAAAACATTGACGTCTCTCTTCCGCTGGCGCACCCGCCGTCGCTTTGCTTCCGCGGGCCCTCCGCCCGCCTCCGCCGAGGGCATGACCGCGCCGAAGGCGGGGCCGCTTCTGGAGCGTCTCGTGTGGAGCAGGCGGGCACCGATATACAATATACAGAGCACGAGTGGCATTCGGTGCGGTGCAGCCGCCATCCGTGGCGGAAGCGTTGGCTTCAGAACTGGTTCGCCGCGGTGCCATGCCCGAGTCGGGACTGCCAAGACCCTGCGCCTTGCGAGATATGCTCAGAGCGCCGCCATTGCCACCCATCGGGGAACCGTTCGGAAATGTGTGTGTGTGTACCTCGGAGGGCCGACTTGACCTTGGCGGCACCTTCGCATCAGTCTGCCCGGCCGTGTCCTCAGGCTGCTCCTGTAGATAGGGCCGCCGCCTTCAGATCCCTGCACCAGTCCAGGACACTTTGACGTCGGCGGCCACGCGCCGGGCAACGTGGCGGTTGCAGCAGGCTTGAAACGGAGGCACGGAGAGCGAACGGGAAGGACGCACCAGGAGAGGCGGCTGCCAGGGCGGCGAGAGCAGACAGCGGACGTGAAGCCAGCCCAGGACATGGAAAACCTGCAGGAGACGGTGCCCTTCCGCGCGCAGCAGCCCGGCAGGGCACGGCAGCCTCATGATCACCAGACACCCCCAAGATCCAATTATTCAAATGAGTTTGGTTTCTGGGCTTTCCGTAGGCTGCACGGACGCGCTGGCGCGGCCGGCGTCGACGCGCACGCGCGCGATCGTGGAGCTCGTGTGACTTGCATGACGGTGCGCTGTCACGGGCACGGCGGGTAGTGCATTTCCCTCGCTCTAGGTTGATCGCGGAGGGAAATCATGATACACGTTTGTTTGGGGCGGCGCTCCCCACACCTGAAATTCAGATTGCCCCTGTCTGAAATTCAGATTGCCCTTGTCTGAAATTCAGATTCCCCCCCCCCGGGGACTCGGGCGAGGCGTTCTGCTTGAGACCTCTGCACATGAATTATTCAGTTTGGCCCGGTCTGAAATTCAGAATGGCTCGGTCGGTCTGCATTTCAGATTCGGCGGCTCCGTGTGGCAGAATTATTCGGTTTGGTGCCGCTGTCCACGGGGCGAACGTGGTCCACGTTTGCTCTCCTGCGAGGTTGCGACATGGGACATGAGAGTGCTCTTGCACTTCTGTTCTGGGAGCTGGCACTCGAAGCCCCGATGTTCCCTCGGACATGGCGCGCCTTGCGGATGCCAAAACATGAAAAGTCGATGTCTCATGGTTGGGGGGGTCTGGTGATAGCCACAGGTTCTCGGCCCGATCTGCCCCCCTTTCAGGAGGGACAAAGAAGCACACAGACACAATGAATCGTCGATGCCCCAGAAGATCTGGGAAAAGATGAGATTTTTTGGGGGGAAGACGAAAGCCCCAAAAATATATGGAAAGACGTGGACTTTTGTTGAGGGAAGATGAAAGCCCCCAAAAAATATGGGAACATATGGGGCATGCCTTGCGTTGTAAATATCTACTTGCGTGTCTCCTGGGGCCCCTTTTGGGGGGCATGCCTTTCATGCATTCATTGTATTATCTGGGGCATGCTTTTCATTGTATTTATCTACTTGTATATCTCCTGGGGCCCCTTTTTTGTCCTTGCCCGAGCGACGTCAACATCGGGCAGTCCAAGCTCAGGAGGGGAAAAAACACACAGACACAATTAATCGTCCACTCCCCAGAAAATATTGAAAAATATGGGGGGTGGGGGGGAAGACAGAAACCCAGAAAATGTAGGAAAATACGGGGAATCTTTTTATCTGTGTGTATTTGTTTGTGTGTCCTGGGGCCCCTTTACAAGCGGAGGCGCTGCCGGCGGGCGCCTGTTGCCTCGCGCCTCTCGCGGAGCTGGCCCCGCCCGCGGCGCGCCGGGCCCCTGCGAGCGGACGGGTCGTGCCGCTCCGCCGGCGAGCTCGGGGCGCGGACGCCCGGGGACTGGGGGCGCGGGAAACGTACGTCGGGCCTGGCCCCTCTACAGGGGGACTCTTCAAAAGTATGTTTAAAAATAGCATGGGGACGATTTTCAACAAAAAAGAAAAAACAAAAAATCCCAAAAGTCAAAAAATATACAAAAAAAAGTAGTCCAACAATGATCAGCAATCGCAAGAAAATTGTCAAAAATTATCAAAAGATAGTCAACAAATAGTCTGGGGCGATTTTCCTATGATTTTTTAACCATTCAGGATATATATATATATATATATATATATATATGTATAGACAGATTCGCATTTGTAGTTCTTCCTCGAAAGTCGGCCTGTAGGGGGACAGGCCCGACCTGATGGTAAACGTGGCGCGCTGAAGTGCGGCGCGCCAGAGCCGGCAGAGCGGCGAGCTGGGCAAAGGCGCACGACCGCAGGAGCCCCTCGGAGGGCCGGTCGAGCCCGCGGCGGCCACCTCGCCCGGCCCAGCTCCGCTCAGAGTCGGAGCAGAGGCTGCTCCCGGGGTCCACATCTCGGCCCGTTTCTCGAGGCGGCTCCAGCCGTGGCGACGAGAAGCCTCCTGGAGGCCCAGAGGGCACGAGAAACGCCCAGGGAGGCCCGCCGTCTCGGCGGGCCCTCCTCCGAGGGCCGTCGGGCAGGAGCTCGACCGGGACGCAGGGCGTGACCGCGGCCGCAAGAACTACATCGGCGGTGGCCGATACGGTTCGTGAGGCGCCACCGAAGCCAAACGCCGATCACGCGGCATCTCCTGCGACATCCCAGCCAACGAACGCCACCACAGCCTCATGTTGTTTGGGATACTTGGCGTGAGGACGCACTAGGACGTCAACGACCTGCTGGGCAGGTGCGGCCTCACGAGCAAGCCAGTCGAGTCGGCCCAAACGCTGCCCAGGAATAGCAGCGGGTCCAAATCAACGTCCATGCAGTCCGCCAGCTGTCGGTGGACGGTGGGGATGCACGTTTGATCGCGCGCTGCAGCCGCCTCTCGAGTAGCGCGCCTGACCTGGGATGCCTCGGGGCCCTTGTCTCGGCGTTTGCCCTCGCGCGCCAGTGGCGGAAGACGAAGCCTTTTCTAGCAGGGAGCCCCTGGACCGCCTGGACCACGGCGAACCGCTCGGCGCATCACCTGATCTGCAGGGCACCCCGGGGGGGATTCGCACGGCGCCCGAGGCGTTGGCCCCTCCTGCGACACTTGCACGGGGGCCCAGCCGCGGCGCCCGAGCTCCGGCACGGTGGCGGCTACGCCCGAGTCGCCGGTGAAAGCAGCACTGCCCCGGCTGGCCTGGTCGTGTCCAGGCCATCCCGTGCACATGCTCGGATGTTCTCGCCGCGGCGGGGCCAGGGAAACCGCACACCCCCCATCTTGCACGTCAGGCATGTCCAGCCATAGTGGTCGAGGGCAAGCGGGAGGGGGAGGGGGAGGCCCAGGAGGAGGAAGAGGACCAGTAGGATCTGCGAGCATTTTGCACGCCCCGTGCTGGGCCCCGAAGGCGAGGATTGCCACCGCGAGGTGGAGTACTTGATGAAGGAGGGCATCGTGAAGAGCCCCGGGTGGTACCCTGGCCTGACCCCCCAATCCAGCTTCCAGGACTCGGGCAGTGCCAAGGGGGCCAACACTGGGGGGTCTACACTTCCTCTGGGAAATCGAGGATCGAGGAGGAGGGAGGGTCGAGTATCGAGGAAGCTTTGGGCGCCTTTGGGCATCTCTGGGAGTCCTGTTTCCTCGAGGAGGTGACGAGGAGACGACCCCCTCATTGGTGGCCCCCTTGGCACCGCGTGGAGGACGTGCAGGACTTCTTGCACTCGATGCAGCCCCTCGTCAAGATGTGCCCCGCCAGGGCGTGCAGGGCGCACCATGCCACGACGGCGCGGACCGAGACCGCACCGTCAGCGCCGCTGCAGCCTGCAGCGGCCCCGCCCGCTGCGGCCAGGGCGGTCCACAATTACTACTCGATGGACCCCCTGCCCGCAGTGACAGACTCTGGCGAGGCGAAGCCCATGGATAGTGTGACCGCCCGACCTGCAGAGGCCCCGCTTGTGGCGACCGGTTCTGGAGCGGCCGGGACCCTGATGAAGGAGGCACCGCAGACAGCGACAAAGCCCATAGAAGCCTGGCCCACGCAGGCGACCCCTCCCACAGCGACCAACTCCGTGGAGGCCCTACCAACGGAAGCCCCACCCGCGGCGACCACATCTGCGAATTACTACTCGACCGAGTTCTTGCCCGTGGTGACCGAGATCGCGGAGGCATTGCCCTCGCCAGCCGCACCCACGGCGAACAGCACTGCGGAGTTCTCAGTTGCGCAGGCCCCCCCCGCAGCGGCCGGCCCTTGGGAGGCCCCGCGTGAGTCAACGGCTCCGCCAGCGGCGACCAGCTCCGCGGAGGCCCAGACTGCACCGGCGCCGCCCACGGCGCACTTCGAGACGCCGCCTTCGCTGGACAGGGCCCCGGCCAGAGCGACTGAGTCTGAGGCACGGCTTGCGGAGGCCCTACAAACGACGACCACCCTTTGGGAGGCCCAGCCTGCACTGACCCCGCAAGCGGTCACCCAGTCCGTGGAAGCACCCCGCGGGGAGGCACCCCCTGCGGCGAGCAACCCGTGGGAGGGCCAGGCGTCGTTGATCCCGCCCGCAGCGGCCAGCACGTGGGGGTCTCAGGCCCCACTAGCGGCGGCCGCTCAGTCCCCACTAACGGCGCCCGCATCCGTAGACCCCCAGCACGCGCAGACCTGGCCCACAGTGGCGAGCCCTTGGGAGGCCCCGCGTGAGTCAACGGCTCCGCCAGCGGCGACCAGCTCCGCGGAGGCGACCGCGCAAGCGCCACCCACGGTGGACCAGCCAGCGCAGGCCCCATCCGCAGCGGCTAACCCTTGGGAGTCATGGGGGTATCAGGCCCCGCCAAGGGCGACCAGCTCCGCAGAGGCCCAGCATGCGCATGCCCCCCCCGCAGCGGCAAGCCCTTGGGAGACGTGGGGGATTCAGGTCCCGCCCAGGGCGACCAGCTCCGCAGAGGCCCAGCATGCGCAGGCTCCGCCCGCAGCGGCCGGCCCCTGGGAGGCCCCGCGTGAGTCACAAGCCGCGCCAGCGGCGACCAGCTCCGCGGAGGCCCCGTCGGCGCACCAGGCGTCGCTGACCCCGCCCGCAGCGGCCAGCACGTGGGGGTCTCAGGCCCCACTAGCGCCGGCCGCTCAGTCCCCACTGACGCCGCGTGAGTCAAAGGCTCCGCCAGCGGCGGCCAACTCCGCAGAGGCCCAGTCTGCACCGGCGCCGCCCACGGCGCACTTCGAGACGCCGCCTTCGCTGGACAAGGCCCCGGCCAGAGCGACTGAGTCTGAGGCACGGCTTGCGGAGGCCCTACAAACGACGACCACCCCTGGGGAGGCCCCGCCTGCACTGGCCCCGCCCGCGGTCACTGGGTCCGTGGAGGTACCTCGCGCGGAAGCCCAGCACGCGGCGATTGCCCCTTGGGAGGACCACTCTCTACCAGCCCTACCCGTGGCGACGAAGCCCATGGAGGCCCCAGCCGAGAAGTTGGCGACCGAGACGGTCCCGGAGGATTGCGAGCTTGGGCGCTTGCGAAACCGAAAGCCACCCCATGCATCATGTGTGCCAGTCGAGGCCTGCTTGAAACCCTCGGCTGTTTACCCAGCATCGTTCCCGAAGAAGCCCCAGTGCGATGTCTGAGGGTCACTTGAGTGGGCCCGAAGATAACCTTGCCCCTTGCACCGCGGCTCAGGTTGGAGAGGCGCCCTTCTCCAAGGTGGCGGCGCGAGGGCGCGAAGATGATCGCGCGACGCGCGGACGTACGTGGCCTAGACTTTCGACTCGGGGGATTCTCGGGCCAGGCCTTCAGGTCATGTCTCGAATCTCTGGCGGCCTTTCTAGACGACTCGGACACCCCTGGAGCGCTCTCGACGAGGTGCCGCTGCAGGAAGGCATCCCGCCGGATGGCATACGAGGACCGACGGAGAGACGCCCGAGCACTCGGACGACGCGAGCCTCAGCTTTGCAGGCGCGCGGGCCCTCGACAGGAGCAAGAGACTTACGTCGGGCCTGTCCCTCTACAGGGGGGAAATTCCAAAATAGCAAAAAAGATAGTCGAGGGACGATGTTTCGACCACTTCTGAGCATTTTTGTTTGGCACTCTTGGGGTATTTCCCATGTTTCGCCCAAGATCCCCCTGTTGGGGGACAAGCCCGACCTAACCCTAGACCCGAATTGTCGCAGGCCCGCGCTGATTTCCTGGATCGGCGCCGGACCCCCTCGGCGGCGCCTCCAGCGCCGCCCCTCGTGCGCTCCTCGCGCCAGTGGAGGGGGAGTCCCGCGCTCACCCCAAGGAATACGCAAGGACGTCCTAGAGGTGCTTGAGGTGGGCGTTGGCCAAACTCTTGCCGGCGTGGATCAAATTGGAGAGAGGAGGAGGAGGAGGAGGAGGAGGAGGAGGAGGAGGGAGGAGGAGGAGGAGGAGGGAGAGGAGAGGAGAGGAGAGGAGGAGGAGAGGAGGAGGAGGAGGGGGAGGAGGGGGAGGAGGAGGAGGAGGAGGAGGAGGAGGAGGAGGAGGAGGAGGAGGAGATGCCGCGCTCGGCGTTTCGGGGGAAGTCGAGGACTTCGGCCCGCAGCTGCCCCGATGCGCCCGTCTTGAAACGCAACACGTACCGTGATCAAGACGTCCGTGTTAACACGTTGTGTGTTGGCTCCATGTGTTTCAGGAAGAGAGAAAACACACAGACACAATGAATCGTCCACTCCAAGGAAAACATGGGGAAGTATGGGAAGTGGTGGGGAGGACAGAAAACCCCGAAGATATGGGAAAATATAGGGAATTATGTTATTTGCGTGTATTTATTTGTGTGTCCCAGGGCCCCTTCAGTGTTGGCCCACGTTTCGGCGAACGTGCGGCGCCAGGCGTACGGTTTCAATCTGCGCGTTGAGAGCTCCGTGTCAGCACGCTGCGGGTTGCGCGTCGCGCACTGGGGCGGCGAAGCTGCGGCCAGACCCGGGGCCCCAGGAGGCCCCGAGCCCGCGTGCTCCCCGCCCTCGCCCCCGCGAACGAGCAGCGCCGAGGTCTGGAGCTGCTCCACGTGGCTTGCGCCATTCCGCCGGCTCCCAAGGCAAGATCTGACGGGCGGGTTGGAGAGAAAGCAGGGGAGGAGAAGGACGTGGATGGGCAAGCGGGGGCGAGGACTGGGAGCGCTGTTTCAGGCCCCCCCTTTCCTCCCGCCGCCGACGGCAGGCGAGTTCATGGCTGGGTGGGGGGGTTGTCTCTGTCACTCCCCCTTCAGGAGGAAAAGAACTTGGAGAGGGTCGCGGATCTCATCGACGAACAGGAAGTAGTAACTTCTTAGGGCATCTGGATGGATTTGGGAGGTTGGTTCGGGGCCTCTTGGGCGTCTCTTGGGGGCCTCTGGGAGGACTCTTGAAGGCCTCGGGGGGCCTCTTGGGGACGCCTCGGGGGCTTCGTGGGGGCTCTTGGGGCCATCTTGGGGCGAAAGGCTCGAATGTCAGTTCGTACCCCTAGTGGTGGGCCCTTCTTGGAGTCTCTGCGGTGCTCATTGGGCGATTTGGGGCGACTTTGGGGCCGTCTTGGGGCCCTCTTGGGCCGCCTTGGTGGCCTTTTGGGCCGTCTTGTGCGGTGTCAGAACGAAGAAGGCGAGTAGGCCAAACATGTGCGCCTTCCGATGGGAAGGGGGCGATGTTTGCCTCTTGGGGCCCTCCTCGGTGGTCCTTTGGGGAAACAAGTGGGCCTTCTTGGAAGCTTCGTGAGCCGTCTCCGTCGTAGGGCTGCACCTCCGACCCTCTCGACACTATCTGGGACTGCCTTGGCGCCCTGTCGCTCTGTTTGCCCTGCTTGGGCTCCCCGGGGCAGCCGCAAGGCTTGTCGGAGGCTCCGGAGGCACCATGGGTGCGTTGACGAGCTCGTTCCCCCCCCCTTCCCCCCGCCCCTCCCCCTTGGACGGGATGTGGGGCCCGGTGGGAGGGGGCAAGGAGGAGGGGGACAGCCGAATGTCCCACGCGCCTTCTCGCTCCGGCAAGCGGGGGTCGGCGGAGCCCTTCGCTCATCTCTTGTGTGCTGCACTGGCGGAGCAGGCCGCACTCGTGTGCGTGGAGCTGTGTTGTCGGGCCCTGCCAAAAGTGACGCGCCCCACATGCCACCACGCGAGCATATCGCATCTTGAGGCACCTCCGGGGTACCCTGGCCAGAAGAAATATCATCTGCATTTGTCCTTCTTCTGGTTTTTGGGGAGAGCACAACCCACCCCCAGCCAGGACATCCTCTCCCGACCTGGTGATCCACGGGTTCCTGGCTGGGGGTGAGGGGGGCTTCTGGCACCCCAGAGGTTTCCAAGACCACTCCCAACCCCAGCCAGGACCCCCTGGATCACCGGGTCGGGAGTGGGTTGTGCTGGCTGGGGGTGGGTTGTGCTATTCTTCTTCTGGCCCCGCCACTCGGGAGAAGGAGGCGCCGCTGCTGGAGGACCTCCCTGACGACCCCCCAGAGGGCGGCGCCCTGCCCGGCGAGGGCGAGGAGGAGCCGCCGCCACTGGACGAGGAGGAGCCGCCGTCGCTGGACGGCGGTGCCGCATGCCCTCGGGCCGCCCGGAATCCGTGCACTCGTCCTCCCCCTCCTCCTTTTCCTCCCCCTCCTCCTCCTCCTCCTCCTCCTCATCCTCCTCCTCCTCCTCCTCCTTTTCCTCCTTTTCCTCCTCCTTCTCCTCCTCCTCCTTCTCCTCCTCCTCCTCCTCCTGCTCCTGCTCCTTCTCCTGCTCCTCCTCCTCCTCCCTCCTCTCTCCTCCTCCTCCGTAGCCATTTTGGCTCAAGGTTTCGTTGTTCGCGCTGAGCAAAAGTGGATACCGCTAGTCCGCGGCAGTGCCAGGGCCTTGGGCCCGACAGTCTTTCCCGCACCCCTGCGTCAGCTTGCCCAGGAGTCACAGGTTCCTTATGGGCCACGGGGCGCCCGCGCCTTCCGGTGTGCATCGCCCTCCTGTTGCTGCCATGGGGCCCCAGCAGCGCCGAGCTGCCCAGGCCAAGGTCTGGTTCTACAAGTGGTGCGTGCACAAGCCGACGAACACCTCATGGATCAACGGCCCAGCCAATAAGTTTTGTGCGATTGGTAACTTGCTCAAGGGCCCCGCGTTCAAGGGCACCCCTCCTCCGAAGTTTCCCGTCCGACGCGCGGCGTCGTTGGCCACGGCAAGGGAGAAGGAGCTCTCCCACCAGTTGACTGAGCTGAAGAAGGGGGCGGCGGCCGCGCGTGCGACCTCTGCTGCCGCAGGCGGTGGGGCCAAGCCTCTTTGGGCAAAGCCTGAAGCCAGTGACAAACGCAAGCGTTTCAAGCCGGTCGAGGGTATGCTGTTGCTGCTCGGACCTGACGATCAGGAGGACGTGGCGAAGTGGACGGTTGTGCCGGACCGTCTTCGCGCCGAGCTGCAAACAGACAAGCCGATCGAGCAGAGTGTTGACTCCTTGAACGGGCGGACTGCTCAAGAGTGCGAAGGCCAAGAAGACCTTCGCCACACAGCGCGTGGCAGCGGCACGCACGGCCATGGACAAAGCTCGCGAGGTGCTCCAGCATGCTGAGCAAAGAAGCTGCGGCAGGCGGCGCAAGTGCGCTGCCAGCCGGGACCGAGGCAAAGCCGTCCATGGCGATTTTCATCTCTGGGCTGGAGGCTGTTGTGGCTCAGTTTGATGCAGTCATTCGCGCCTTGGGCGGCACGGCCCAGTTATCAGAATAATTGCGGTCCATGGCGCAGGTGGTGGACAAGCTCAAGCAGGCCATGGCGGCGCAGGCAGCTCAGGTGCCCGAGCCAGGCGCCCAAGAGGTTGAGGTTCCGCCTGCGCCGCCCGCCTCTGAGCATGCGGATATGGATGTCGACGCCGGCGCGGCCGCTGCGCGCGTGGATTCTCTGGACGAGGCTACGTGTCGGGAGCATCTCAAGGCCTGCGGCGTCGAGTTCGAGGACGGCGACGATGGCTCACCGTCGGCCCTGGAGCCGCGCGAGCGGCTCAAGCGGCACCTCGGTTCCGTCGCGCGCGCGGCCAGAAGCTCAAGGCAGCGAACGCAGTGGCGCAGTGCGCTCGCGCTCGTCCGCGTCGCGATGATGTTCAATTTCGCTCGTGCAGGGGAGGGGCCTGCTGCCGCCACTCATGCGCGCAGTCTTCCGCATTGCGACCCGAATGGCGACGTTGGTCCATTTGGCGCCGCGGGCGCGTCTTGGTCGCAGGCACGCCGCGCACGAGGGTCAGCCATCAATGCCAGCCAGCGCACCGAAGCCCAGAGCATTGCGACAGCGGGCGGAGGCCATCGCCAGGCCGGCAGAGATTGAGTTGAATAATTCCGCGGGCGCTAGTAATACGACGCAGACGACGGCTGCCGCAACAGCGACTGTTTCGCACGATGAGCGACGAGATGCGAACGGCGCTGAACATGGGCGGGGCACCGGGGGGAGGCGTGCCCCCGAGCACCCGAGGAGTCAGCCGCCCAAGAAGGGTGAGTACGCCACCGTGGCCACATTGAACGCCAGTAACCTTGGGCCGCGCGTTGACCACCTCGCAGATGCGAGCGCACAGGTCGTTCTTGCTCAAGAGTTGCACGCGCCCGTCGACCTGGTCGCTGATCGGCGGAACCATTTGAATGACACTGGTAACCGAGGCAGATGGAGCGCCGCCATGCCGAACGAGGCTGGTGCGCCTGGGACCACAAGTGGAGTTGCGGCGTTCTCGCAGTCGCACATCACGGTCAGGGCTCCGCCTTGCTCAACCACGCCTGACATTGCCCCGGGGCGCGCGGCGGCGGCGCGTGCGAGATTCTTCTTGCCTGGCGGAGTGTTCTTCGCGTCGG